GTCGTCCACCATGACACCCAGGTCCTTCTCTGCAGAGCTGCCCTCCAGAAGGTCAGTCCCCAGCCTGTACTGTCCCCAGCCTTTACTAGTGTCTGGGGTTATTTCTCCCCAGGTGCAGAACCCTGCACTTGGCCTTGCTGAATTTCATGAAGTTTCTCACTGCCCAGTTATCCAGTCTGTCCAATTAAAACAAAGCTAATAGTAACAGCATTATACACTATAACCAAAGAAGCATTTCTGCCTTAAACTACAAGAAATTCAGTTTTGTCCTGGGGTTTTCTTTTAAAGGCTATGTTGATAGGTGGTTTTCCAAAGTACAAAGTTGACTATCGACAAAGAAGCCTGAATATACACAAAACAATCTGAGGCTTAAACAAGAAAAGACGAGCACTGATTACTTCTTGTTTTCCCTCAAAGTTACACAGCATATTATAGTTCAGGGAACTCAACTGTCAACACTACCAAAAGTCACAGTAAACACACCTTAAATGATTTTAAAAGCTTTAAACTCATTATAAAACAAAACACAGATATTAAAAAATGAGGTCAAAAACAAAATCTCAAAAGCAAAACCAGGTGAAGAAAGAGGCAATTAGAAGCTTTCACTTGCTAAAGTCAGCTAAAATAATTCAACAGACTTTACAAAAAAAGGCAAGGTTTTATAAATTACATATATCCATATGGGAAAGACGCTCCCCTCAAGTAGTTTCACAAAAAAAGGTCATTTTAAATTCAGGTTGTCATCCTTTTGAATTAAGAGCATATTGAGCTAGAGCTATCCAGTCACACCTGTCTTACTGCAATTACTATTTAAAATGGTTCCTTGAAATCAGAGCACCAACTTGTAAGATATTAGAAACTTTACTCCCTGTTATGTAAGTCCTTGTTTTTGCTCAGTGCACTGAGATACACTTCCTGCCAAAGCTGCACCCTTTTTTGTTTCAAGCACTTCAGAAAATACCAGGTAAAAGTTTCTTCCCAAGTGACAGACAAAAACAGCTCTGCTAAACTTTCACTTCTAAAAGAGCTGGCACCTTCATACTGTAAAGGAAGAAAACTGTAAAGCAGCAAACAACCATAAGCATCTTCTTAAAGCTCACTAAGCACCCTTAGTCTGACTGCAGTATGCTTGGTCAGTCATTTTGAATGCTTCTTCAGAAGTTAATTTAGAAATCATCACAGGAAGTGATTCAATTAGTGTTAGGGAGATTAGCTTTAAGTGCTCCTTTTACATTAATTGCTATTGCTAAGCTTCATAACCGCCTTTTGGATTATGTAAAGTAGTTGCCAGATTTTTGGAATGATGGAACATATTCTTGCATCATAAGTTATAAGAGAGGGGAAAAAAGTCGAGTTCAAAGAGATTTCCATAGTGATATAGTTGCAGAAGACATCCCACTGACTCCTTTCTTCCTCCTGCACTTACATTACTCTCCTGCAGTATTCCAGACTTCATTTTTTCTTAGTTTAGCAGCTGGATGGACATATTTTCCTTTCACTTTGTCCTGTACCTCCCCACAAAAGTGACACCATAGCCCTTCACTGAACTGCCACTACAGCTTTACCTTGTTTTAAGGATGGTTATAATCAAAGAAGCCCTCCTTGCTGTAGGAAAGGACAGGCAATTCTTGCCTAATTTAATAAAAGAGTACTTAGATCACTAATATTAACCATCCATATATTCTATCTCTTGATAGCAGTCCCTGTTTAATAGTGGCCAGTACTAGGCAGAAGCCAACTGAAAGTCAGGTCTGCCACATTACATAAGATTTCAGTCCCTTAAAGTTCTATAGCTCTTACCTCTTTCAAATTCACAATAAGCATATTTTTAGAAAGTTTATTCCAAGCATGATGAAAAGGACTATCAGGTATAGAGAAGTATACCACAAACCACAAAGTGAATTAAGTTTTGCTTTGGAAGGATCACCATACCTCTTTTTTAACTAGTTCAACAGCTGCATCCATGTCTTTTTGACTATACTGTAGCACATCTATAATAGCATCCACCGCAGTGTTTGTGGAAGTAGCAAAAGCCAATGGTGAAACATCACCAGTCACAGAGTCTGGAATTAGGGGACCTGTATCCTACAAGGAAAGGAAAATTGGATTTTAATAGATGGATTTGAATACAGTTGATATGCTGGGTAAATATTTTACATGCAGCTAATTTAACTTAAACTTCTAAACTACCTCCATAACTGTTATTTTAACTTTGCTACTTCGTAAGTATTTTGTAGAACTACTATGTAATGATTTGTGAGGTATGAAACTCCTGTCTATCAGTTATGATGAGCAGAAAGAGCAGATGACACCACACCATATTCAGACACTGATTTGTCACCAGTTTGGGATATATTGCTGGGTAGATGTTTCAAAGCAATGCCACATTATAAATCTCAGGCTGCACAGTATCATTTTATTGAAGTAGTGCTTTTCATCCCAGCAGTGCAATTAGTGTGAGCTGATCTTATTTTTGTAGCTTCAGCTGCACAACAGACTGCTCAAGTAAAGCATTCTTAAGAACTGCTTAAATTCTTAGAGAAAGCTACTAATTTTCATAGAATATGCAAGGACATGAAGTTCATCAAAAAGTTTAACTTTGATATCGCTGGTATCTAACATCATTTCTAAGATGAGAGTTTAAATAAGCACTTTATTTTGTTACCCATGTACATTTTGCATGGCAAGTGTGGATTCCAGAACTGTTTCCCTTCCCCAAAACGTCAAGAAGAATTTGATATAGTTTCAGATTTTCTTACAGAAGTTGTAAATGTTCCCAGAAGATCTAGTCCTTTTGGCTTTTCTTCATTTTGAAGACTCACTCCAGGCTTTTCAGCTTCTTCAAGCAGTCTGCTTAAATCAACAACAGGACTAAGAATGACCAAATGTAAAAATTTGTGCTTAAGTGTTGCTTTTCTTTGTAAGACTGTGTAGCACAGCTTAGATCAAAAAAATACCTACCCACACTGAAGTGGAGGAGTTATAACACTCATATTTGTTTCATTAGTACCAAAAGTCTGTTTCCTGGGACTGTCTCTCAACAGAGGGTCAAACTTCAAATATAGTGACTGTTTCCTCAAAGCAGATTCCTTGAACTGAGAAGAAAAAGGCATAACTAGCAGATTTGTTGCTTTATAGACTAACACACACAACCCTCCGGAGGGAGGGTGAGCCTGCTCTTCTGTGGCCAGAGTATTGTTCTCTGGAGGAAATTATGTAACAGAACTTGGTGCCCATGAGCTTAAGGCCTTATGTAACACCAAGTGAACTCAAAGTTTTTTGCTCTGAGATAGAGCCAGAAGGGCAAGCTTTTATGAACTTTTGAAAAACAGCAGGCCTATCAAAGGGAAAGATGGCCTACACTGCTTGCTCAGTTTATGTACCAACTTCTGCCTTTGCCAAGTTAATAGTAAGACAAACACAGTGGAATTAAAAACAAAATATATCAATTCACTGTATATTCATACTAACAGGTCACTCAGTCTGGCCCACAGAAAGAATAATTAAAGTGTATTATTTTAAACTCAAGTCCCAATCTAGAGACAGACTTCCTGAAATTTTCTATAAAAAACAGTTTCAAAAATATGCCTTCAAAACAGTCACTTCCAAAGC